GCAACCGGCTGGACGAAGGTTCGGACGTGGAGTCGGAGCCGGACTTGCCCCTGAAGCGCAAGCAGCGCCGCAGCCGGACCACCTTCACGGCCGAGCAGCTGGAGGAGCTGGAGAAGGCCTTTGAGCGGACCCACTACCCGGACATCTACACACGGGAAGAACTGGCCCAGAGGACCAAGCTGACCGAGGCCAGGGTCCAGGTACTTCCTCTCTTTACCTTCCTTCGCTCCCTTGCGTTTTCCTCCAATGTGGCCTTTGAGCACCAAAGATCATCCAGTCCAACCCCTTGCCATCCCTACAGATGGCCATCTTCTCAGAGTATCCATGACGTCCATGGGTTGCAGCGAGTTTTTTGAGCCAATGTGTTCCAGCAGCATTCTTTCCTGACATTTCTTCACCATCTGTGGCTCATGGTTCTGTGTGTATGTATAGCCGTGGAATAATGTCCAGGGTGGGAGGAAAAACACTTGTCTCTTGAAAGCCAGTGTGAATGTTGCAACTGCATTGAGTAGCCATGAAGTTTGCAAAGTCAATCAGGGAGGGTATCTTCAGAGAGGTGGCCTGGCCTGGGATGCCTGGAGGAACCCTCTGTTTGGGAGGTTTTAATTGCAACATTCACACTTGCAATGAGCAAGCTTAAATAGCATTGAGTAACCATGAAGTTTGCAAAGTCAGTCAGGGAGGGTATCTTCAGAGAGGTGGCCTGGCCTGGGTTGCCTGGGGGCAGCCTCTAATTGCAACATTCGCATTTTCAATTAGCAAACTTGAATGGCATTGAGTAGTTTTAAAAGTCAATCAGGAAGGGTATCTGCAGAGAGGTAGCCTGGCCTGGGTTGCCTGGAGGCACCCTCTGTGGAATAATGTCCAGACTGAGGAGGAAGAACCCTTGTCTGTTGAAAGTCAAGGTGAATGTTGCAATGAGCAAGCATAAATGGCATTGAGTAGCCATGAAGTTTGCAAAGTCAATCAGGAAGGGTATCTCCAGAGAGGTAGTCTGGCCTGGGTTGCTGGAGGCACCCTCTGTTTGGGAGGAGTTAATTGCAACATTCACACTTGCAATGAGCAAGCTTGAATAGCATTGAGTAGCCATGAAGTTTGCAAAGACAGTCAGGAAGGGTATCTACAGAGAGGTGGCCTGGTCTGTTTGGGACATGTTAGGGTTAGGGTTAGAGTATCTACAGAGAGTTTGCCTGGCCTGAGTTGCCTGGAGGCACCCTCTGCTTGGAAGCATTGAGTAGCTGCAAGCTGCAAGGCTACTCAAGTCAATCAGTGAGAGTATCTGCATAGAATCAAAGTCAATCGGGGAGGGTCTCTGCATAGAGGTAGCCTGGCCTGGGGTGCCTGGAGGCACCCTCTGTTTGGGAGGTGTTAATTGCAACATTCACATTTTCAATTAGCAAACTTGAATAGCATTGAGTAGCATTGAGGTTAGAGTATCTACAGAGAGTTTGCCTGGCCTGAGTTGCCTGGAGGCACCCTCTGCTTGGAAGCATTGAGTAGCTGCAAGCTGCAAGGCTACTCAAGTCAATCAGTGAGAGTATCTGCATAGAATCAAAGTCAATCGGGGAGGGTCTCTGCATAGAGGTAGCCTGGCCTGGGGTGCCTGGAGGCACCCTCTGTTTGGGAGGTGTTAATTGCAACATTCACATTTTCAATTAGCAAACTTGAATAGCATTGAGTAGCCACGAAGTTTGCAAAGTCAATCTGGGAGGGTATCTGTTTGCCCTGCATGTATTATGAAAGTTACTTAAACTTGTATCGGTGCTGAAGCTCATTTCAATAGGACAATCGCATATTTACAACTCCAGGCAACAGAGGCCAGGCTACCTCCATGCAAATACCCTCCCTGATTGACTTTGGGCACTTCGTGGCTAACCAATGCTATTCAAGCTTGCAAAATTGCAACATTTATTCCATATATATATATGGAATAAGATGGCATTAGCCACAGATGCAGGCAAAATGTCAGGAGAGAATGCTGCTATAACACATTGGCTGTACAAGCCAGAAAACTCACAGCCCTCCAGCGATTCTGGCCATGGAAGCCTTCGAGAAGACAATAGCAACAGCCCGGTGGGGCAAATGGGGCGCGTTAGTCATCACTTACGTCAACCCCATGGGATTCTCTCCCCCTTTCCTTGGGCATGCCTTTCAAGTGGGTCTCCTTGCCTTGGGAACCGCAGCGCAACAGCTGCCGAGAGGCTTCAGGGCTGCCAGGGAGACGGAGCCAACAGGGGCCAGGCCGTCACTCATCAGGCAGAAAGTATGACTACATTCGTAGTCGTCTCATTCTAATATATTTATTTACATGTACACAACAACACAGCACACACGCACATTAGCTTCAAGGGTCTGAGGTTCGTCTCTGAATATCGGACTCCTCCCAAGGACTTAGGATACATTATTGTTATTGTCGTTGTTGTTCACAAGGGCCTAAAATATGATGTTGTTTTTGTTGTTGTTGTTCACAAAGGCCTGAGATATGTTGTTGTTGTTGTTGTTCCCAAGGGCCTAGGATAATTGTTTTTGTTGTTGTTGTTGTCTTTCTTCTTCTTCTTCTTTTTGTTCCCAAGGGCATAGGATATGTTGTTGTTGTTGCTATTGTTCTTCTTCATCTTCCTCCCAAGGGCCTAAGATTTGGTGTTGTTGTTGTTGTTGTTGTCCTTCTCCTTCTCCTTCCCAAGGGCACAGGATATGTTGTTATTGCTGCTGTTGTTGTTGTTCTTCTTCTTCCCAAGAGACTAAGATATATTGTTGTTGCTGTTGCTGTTGCTGTTGCTCTTCTTCTTCTTCCTCCTCCTCCTCCTCCCAAGAGCATAGGATATGTTGTTGTTGTTGTTGTTGTCCTCCTCCTCCTCCTCCTCCTCCTCCTCCTCCTCCTCCTTCTTCTTCTTCTTCTTCTCCTTCCCAAGGGCCTAAGATATATTGTTGTTGCTGTTGCTCTTCTTCGTCTTCGTCTTCCTCTTCCCAAGGGCATAGGATATGTTGTTTTGTTGTTGTTGTTGTCTTTCTTCTTCTACTACTACTACTACTACTCTTCTCCTCCTCCTCCTTCTTCTTCTCCATCCCAAGGGCATAGGATATGTTGTTGTTGCTGATGTTGCTGTTGTTCTTCTTCTTTGTCTTTGTCTTCATCTTCATCTTCTTCTTCCCAAGGGCATAGGATATGTTGTCGTTGTTGTTGTTGTTGTTGTTGTTGTTGTCTTTCTTCTTCTCCTCCTCCTCCTCCTCTTCCTCCTCCTTCCCAAGGGCATAGGATATGTTGCTGTTGCTCTTCTTCTCCTCCTCCTCTTTCTCCTCCTTCTTCTTCTTCTTCTTCTTCTTCTTCTTCTCCTCCTCCTCCTCTCCTCCTACTACTACTACTACTTCTCCTTCTTCTCCTCCTTCTCCTCCTCCTCCTCCTCCTCCTCCTCCTTCTTCTTCTTCTTCTCCTCCTCCTCCTCCTCTTCCTCCTCCTTCCCAAGGGCATAGGATATGTTGCTGTTGCTCTTCTTCTCCTCCTCTTTCTCTCTTCTTCTTCTTCTTCTTCTTCTTCTTCTTCTTCTTCTTCTTCTTCTCTTCTCCTCCTCCTCCTCTCCTCCTCTTCCTCCTCCTCAAGGGCATAGGATATGTTGCTGTTGCTCTTCTTCTCCTCCTCCTCTTTCCTCCTTTTCTTCCTCCTCCTCCTCCTCCTCCTCCTTCTTCTTCTTCTTCTCCTCCTCCTCCTCCTCTTCCTCCTCCTTCCCAAGGGCATAGGATATGTTGCTGTTGCTCTTCTTCTCCTCCTCCTCTTTCTCCTTCTTCTTCTTCTTCTTCTTCTTCTTCTTCTTCTTCTTCTTCTTCTCCTCCTCTTCCTCCTCTTCCTCCTCCTCTTCTTCTTCTTCTTCTTCTTCTTCTTCTTCTCTCCTCTCTTCTTCTTCTCCTCTTTGTCACAGGCAGATGGGATTGGTGGCACAAGTTCCTATGGATCATCTAAGCCACAGTATTATGCCTCTGCTTATGTTGTTGTTGCTCTTCTTCTTCTTCTTCTTCTTCTTCTTCTTCTTCTTCTTCTTCTTCTTCTTCTTCTTCTTCTTCTTCTTCTTCTTCTCCTTCCCAAGGGCATAGGATATGTTGTTGCTGCTGTTGTTGTTATTCTTCTTCTTCCTCTTCTTCATCTTCTTCTCCTTCCCAAGGGCCTAAGATATATTGTTGTTGCTGTTGCTGTTGTTCTTCTTCTTCCTCTTCTTCTTCTTCTTCTTCTTCTTCTTCTTCTTCTCCTTCCAAAGGGCATGGGATATGTTGTTGCTGCTATTGCTGTTGTTGTTCTTCTTCTTCCCAAGGGCTTAAGATATATTGTTGTTGCTGTCGCTGTTCTTCTTCTTCTTCCTCTTCTTCTTCTTTTTCTACTTCTTCTTCTTCTCCTTCCAAAGGGCATGAGATATGTTGTTGCTGCTGCTGTTCTTCTTCTTCTTCTTCTTCCCAAGGGCCTAAGCTATATTGTTGTTGCTGTTGCTGTTGTTGTTCTTCTTCTTCATCATCATCATCCTTCCCAATGGCATAGGATATGTTGTTGTTGCTGCTGTTGTTCTTCTTCTTCTTCTTCCCAAGGGCCTAAGATATATTGTTGCTGTTGTTGTTGTTGTTTTTCTTCCTCCTCTTCTTCTTCATCCCAAGGGCATAGGATATGTTACTAGGTTCTTGTAGTTTTTTTCGGGCTATAGGGCCATGTTCTAGAGGCATTTCTACCTCTGAGGATGCTTGCCATAGATGCAGGCGAAACGTCAGGAGAAATGCCTCTAGAACATGGCCCTATAGCCCGAAAAAACCTACAAGAACCTAGTGATTCCAGCCATGAAAGCCTTCGACAATACATAGGATATGTTGTTGTTGTTGTTGTTACATGAGGAAGTGAATGTTACATAGTGTAGTTAGTTCGACTGGATGGATAGGATCCTGGCCATCTTTGGAGAAGTTTCTTTCGGTGTGCAGAGGGAGGCCGGAGACAGACGAAAGGCGCAACACTCTCGGCGAGGGTTCCTCTCCCTTCCCAAAACATATTTACAAGGGTTTTGTGGGATTAAGGCCAGTGGGAAGAAACCAACGATGCCAGGAGGCTGGGGTGAGAAAAGCTTGCAGGAATGCGCGGCGGGCGGAGAACAGCTGCGCCACGCATTTCGACCGGCCTGGGAAATAGGCAGCGGTGCAAATCCCCGTTTCGGGCCAAGCGCCGGGACCAGGACACCACTGCGGATGGAAAGCCCTCCTTTGGTTTGTGTCCAAGTCAAAACAAATGGGAAATTTCAGAGTCGGTTGCGCCCGCATTACGGCCGTGCTGTCAACAACTTACATAACCGGAATCACTACATTGCTGTGCATTTTTCGGGCTGTATGGCCAACGTGTTCCAGCAGCATTCTCTCCTGACATTTTGCCCGCACCTGTGGCTAATAGCATCATCAGAGGTTCTGTTCGCAGAGTATATATATACCAGGGTGGGATGAATGTTGCAATTAGCAAGCTTGACTAGCATTGGGTAGCCATGAAGTTTGCAAACTCAATCAGTGAGGTATCTGCATAGAGTCAAAGTCAATCAGGGAGGGTCTCTGCATAGAGGTAGCCTGGCCTCTGTTGCCTGGAGGTGCCCTCTGTTTGGGAGGTGTTAATTGCAACATTCACCCTTGCAATGAGCAAGCTTGAACAGCATTGATTAGACATGAAGTTTACAAAGTCAATCAGGGAGGGTTTCTGCATAGAGGTGGCCTGGAGTTCTCCAAGGAGCTCGATGTAGACCTTGATGGTCCACTGTTTAACTTGTAGAAGCTCTGTTTCGATCCAAAGTTTATGGAGTTCTTCAAGGAGCTTGATCTGGGTCTCGATGGTCCACCATCTAACCTGTAGAACCTCTATTCTGATCCAAACTTTATGGAGTTCTTCAAGGAGCTCAATCTAGGTCTTGATGGTCCATCATCTAACTTGTAGGAGCTCTGTTTTGATCCAAACTTTATGGAGTTCTTCAAGGAGCTTGATCTAGGTCTTGATGGTCCACCATCTAAACTATAGAACCTCTATTTTGATCCAAACTTTATGGAGTCCTCCAAGGAGCCCAATCTAGGTCTTGATGGTCCACCATCTAACTTGTAGAAGCTCTGTTTAGATTCAAAGTTTATGGAGTTCTTCAAGGAGCTTGATGTAGGTCTTGATGGTCCACCATCTCACCTATAGAACCTCTGTTTTGATCCAAACTTTATGGAGTTCTCCAAGGAGCTCGATCTAGGTCTTGATGGTCCACCATCTAACCTATTGATCCTCCTCTGAGATTTGACTTTATGAAGTTCTCTAAGAAGCTGAATCCTACCTGAAACTCCAGAGGTCCACCAAAATTGATGATACTAAACAAGATGGATGCCCGAAGATCTAGCTCAGCTAGATCTTTGAACCATCTGCCTATAGATCCTCCTCTGGGTTTTGATCCATAATTTGTGGAATCAGAATAATCTATTTTAAAGTTTGAGCGAAACTTTAGACCTGTCAGAATTGATACTACCAGACGAGTTGGACCTAACGCTGTTTCCTTGATGGTCAACCATCTCACCATCTACTGTAGATCCTTATTGACGTTGGCCTTGGACTATTTGATTTGGTTTCCAGGGACATCCGAGGGATGTCAGGTTGAAAATATCTCCTGCAATAAAGCCAAGGCTCAATAACTATAGTTAGATAACAGAGGACCTTAGGAGGTCCTTATGAGGTCCAGAGGACCTTAGGAGGTCCAGTTTGTGGCAGATTTCCCAACCCGGTGGCTTTCCTTCCCACCCCGATCCTTGGGGAGTGAGGTCGTTTTCTCACAATTTGTACACACACAAAAAAAAAAACCCACGCACACGTTGCTGTGAAATTCAATCGCCTCTTCGGGGTCCGGCCAACGCAGCAGCTGCATTCCCATCTCAGCTCCCAACCATCTCAGAAGCCGAGCTGTGCATTTCTCGGCCAGCGTCCCAACCGTGGCATGCCTCCAAACCGGGATGGCAACCCTGAGAATGTCTCTCTCCATCCTTTCGTTCCGGGGTAAAATCGGTGTCACAGGAAATGCCTCGGCTTGGTCGAGTCAAGAGATGCCAAGGTTGGTGGCAGATCCTGTTGGTGGCCCACCAGGGAAGGCCCACCTGACAGCTCACCCACCCACAACGTTCTTCCTCTCTCTCCAACTTCCAGGTCTGGTTCAGCAACCGAAGGGCAAGATGGCGCAAGCAAGCCGGGGCCAATCAGCTGGCGGCCTTCAACCACCTCCTCCCGGGGGGTTTCCCACCCACCGGGATGCCGACTTTGCCACCGTACCAGCTTCCGGATTCCACCTACACAACGACCACTCTTTCCCAAGGTGAAGGCAATGGAGGGGGGGTGGACTATCATCTCTCTCTCATACATCTTCATCCATTTTTACCAGGGACACTATTTGGCCCCATATATGGGTAAGGTCTTAGGCACATGGGCAGTAGAGTCCTTGCTGGCAATCACGGCCCAACATTAATAGCTGCTCTGTGACCTAAGAAAGGTCTTTTGGTCTTCACTAAGAAGCCAGACCCAACACTCTAAAGATGGTCCATGGGAAACCACCCCATCTGGAAGGGATATAAGACATGAGAACCAAGTTGTAAATTTAAGGGATTGAGATGGATGGATTGATGGGTGGGTGGGTCGAGAAGTGGCTCAATGGATGGATGGATGGAGAGGTGGTTGCCCAATGGGTTTCTGTAGCTGAGTGTAGATTTGAACACTAGACTCCATCCAAACCTGGAGAAATGAATGGATGGATGGATGGATGGATGGATGGATGGATGGATGGATGGATGGATGGATGGAAGAAGTGGGTGGAGGGATGGAAAAGTGAATGTAGAAGAGAATGGATGGATGGAGAAGTGGATGGATGGATGGATAAGTGAATGGAGAAGTGGATGGGTGGATGGATGGATGGATGAATGGATGGCTGGTGAGTGGTTACCCAATGGATTTCCAAGGCTGAATGCAGATTTGAACATTAGACTCCATCCTGAGCTGGAGAGATGGATGGAGAAGTGGATGGATGGTTGATTGGATGGAGAAGTGGATGGATGGATGGATGGATGGATGGATGGATGGATGGAGGAGTGAATGTAGAAGGCGATGGATGGATGGATGGATTAGTGGATGGAGAAGTGGATGAATGGATAGATGGATGGATGGATGGATGGATGGATGGATGGATGGATGGATGCAGAAATGAATGTAGAAGAGGATGGATGGATGGAGAGATGGTTGCCCAATGGGTTTCTGTAGCTGAGTGTAGATTTGAACACTAGACTCCATCCAAACCTGGAGAGATGGATGGAGAAATTGATGGATGGAAGGATGGATGGATGATTGAATGGAGAAGTGGATGGAGAAGTGGGTGGATGGATGGATGGAGAAGTGAATGAAGAAGAGGATGGATGGATGGATGGATGGATGGATGGATGAATGGATAAGTGAATGGAAAAATGGATGGATGGAGAAGTAAATGGATGGATGCAGACGTGAATGTAGAAGAGGATGGATGGAGAGAAATGGATGGATGGAAGGATGATTGAATGGAGAATGGATGGAGAAGTGGATGGATGGATGGATGGATGGATGGATGGATGGATGGATGGGGAGAGATGGATGGATGGATGCAGAAGTGAATGTAGAAGAGGATGGATGGATGGAGAGATGGTTGCCCAATGGGTTTCTGTAGCTGAATGTAGATTTGAACACTAGACTCTATCCAAACCTGGAGAAATGGATGGAGAAATGGATGGATGGAAGGATGGATGGATGATTGAATGGAGAAGTTGATGGATGCATGGATACATGGATGCATGGATGGAGAAGTGGGTGGGTGGGTGGATGGAGAAGTGAATATAGAAGAGGATGGATGGATGGAGAAGTGAATGGAGAAGTGGATGGATGGATGGATGCAGAAGTGAATGTAGAAGAGGATGGATGGAGAAGTGGATGGATGGATGGATAAGTGAATGGAGAAATGGATGGATGTAGAAGTGGGTGGATGGATGAATGAATGAATGAATGGATGGACCGGCAAGTGGTTACCCAATGGATTTCCAAGGCTGAATGCAGATTTGAATATTAGACTCCATCCAGAGCTGGAGAGGTGGATGGAGGGAGGGTGGGTGGGTGGGTGGAGAAGTGGATGGATGGTTGATTGGATGAAGAAGTGGATGGATGGATGGATGGACAGTTGGTTTCCATGCCCGAGTGCAGACTTGAACCCTGGTCTCCAACCAACATTCAAAGATGGATGGATGGACAAGTCAATGGCTGGATGGATGGGCTAGTGGGCAGATGGTTGGAGATGGTTCCTCCTGGTGACCCCTTTCTTCCTTGGCAGACGGGAGCAGCACTGTCCACAGACCCCAGCCTCTGCCGCCATCCAGCATGCACCAGGGAGGGCTGGCGGCCGCAGCGGCAGACTCCAGCTCGGCCTACGGGCCGCGGCACAGCTTCTCCAGCTACTCTGAGAGCTTCATGAACCCCACGGCCCCCACCAACCACATGAACCCCGTCAGCAATGGCCTCTCTCCTCAGGTAGGCCACCTTTTCCCACAGTGTCTCCTCTTTTCCAAATGGTCTTCTCTGTGATAGCCAATGAAAAACAACTTCTGTTCCTGGTTTGAAAGTATTATTTCCTGTTTCATTGTGTGGTCCTTCCTTTGAAAGTAGTTGTTCCACTCCGTAAACTTTGTTTTTGAGCCACAAACTATGTTGAATTGGTTGAGACTCGATGGAAGATTAGTTGAAAAACGATCGCAATGTGTACTTTGTCATCAGTATTTCGTGTCCTTTGTTGTGGTTGTTGGGTGTCTTCAAGATGTTACAATGCAACCATATCATGGGTTTTTCTGAGGCTGAGAAAGTGTGGTTGCGTTGAGATTTGAACCCAAGTCCCAATGCTGAAACCAAGCTGGCTTTGTAGAAATTTCGATCGTTTGGAGGGGGATTTGCGTCTGGCGGAAAAAATAAATCCATCACGAAGTCCTTTTTTCATTTGAAATGAGCTCTTGATATTCATCCTCATGAATCCTGTGTCCGAGAAGGACACGGACAACGTAGGGAGGGCGGCGGAAAGGGGCAAAGGTCTGGAAACTATAAATCCCTCCAAGGAACTGCTACGTGGAGGAGACAGAGAAGTGACGTGACTTAGTTATTGGAAGGGAATCAGGTAGAAGACAAAGCCAGCTTGTTCTCTGCTTCTCCAATGCAAGAAGCAATAGGTTCGAGTTACATGGAAAGAGATTCCCACCCAAACATTAGGAGGAACTTCTTGACTGTAAGAGCTATTAAGAGCAGAACAAAGGCTCTCCTTCTTTGGAGGCCTTCAAACCAGTCAGATAGGACTCTTTTAAGGTGCTTTGGTTGTCTATTACTACATGGCAGAATAGGGTTGGACTACATGACCTTTGGGGGTCCCTTCCAACTCCAAGCCAAGTAGCAGAGAACTAGGGTAATTGTTGTTGTTGTTGACCTTTCATTGGACTAAATGACCTTTGGAGTTCTCTTCCAACTCAAAGCCAAGCAAATAATAATAATGCAGGGCCTTTTGTTGGACTAGATGACCTTCAGGGGTCCCTTCCAACTCAAAGTAAAGCTAATGATAATGGTGATAACAGCAGCAGCAGCAGTAATAAAGGACCTTTCAACAACAACAATCGTAATAAAGGACCTTTCATTGGATGGATTCATGGGGAAGTGGATGGATGGATGGATGGAGAACAGAATGGAGAAGTGGATCAATAGATGGATGGATGGAGGATGGATGAATGGAGAAGTGAATAGAGAAGTGGATCAATGGATAGATGGATGGAGAAGTGAATGGAGAAGTGGATGGATGGATGGATGGATGGATAGATGGATGGATGGATAGAGAAATGAATGGAGAAGTGAATCAATAGATGGATGGATGGATGGATGGATGGATGGATGGATGGATGGATGGATGGAGAAATGAATGGAGAAGTGGATGGGTGGATGGATGGGTTGATGAAGAAGTAGATGGGTGGATGGATGGATGGATGGAGAAGTGGATGGATGGATGGCAAACTGAATGGAGAAGTGGATCAATAGATGGATGGATGAAGGATGGATGAATGGATGGAGAAGTGAATAGAGAAGTGGATCAATGGATGGATGGATGGAGAAATGAATGGAGAAGTGGATGGGTGGATGGAGAAGTGGATTGATGGATGGATATATGGAGATGGAGAAGTGGATCAATGGATGAATGGATGGGCGGGCGGTTACCCAATGGGTTTCCATGGCTGAGTGAAGATTTGAACACTGGACACCATCCAAGCTGGAGTGATAGGTGGAGAAGTGGATGAGTGGATAGACTGATGGAGAAGTGAATGGAGAAGTGGATGGATGGAGATGTAGATGGAGAAGCGAATCAATAGATGAATGGACGGGCGGGCGGTTACCCAATGGGTTTCCATGGCTGAGTGAAGATTTGAACACTGGACACCATCCAAAGTTGGAGTGATGGGTGGAGAAGTGGATGGATGACTGGATGGATGGAGAAGTGGATGGATGGAGAAGTGGATGGATGGATGGATAGATGGATGGATGGATGGATGGAGAAGTGGATGGAAAAGTGGATCGATGGATAGATGGATGGACAGATGGAGGGATGGAGAAGTGTCTTCCAACTCAAAGCCAACCAGGAGAGAAATAGAATAACGATGATGATGATGGTACCAGAGGACCTTTCATTGGTCTAGATGACCTTTGAGTTTCCTTCCAATTCAAAGCCAAGCTGAAGAGCACTCGAATCACCTTGGTTTAGATAAGGTGAGATGAATCGAGAGGCAACCTCATAGGGTGGCATCAACATGGGTTCAAATCCCGGCTCTGTTGAGAGCCAGGCGGAGGCAACCTGGGCCTAGATGGTCTGCAAATCCTGCTTTGCTTTCAATGGGAAGGATGGCGTTCTCCCTCGGAAGGTCAGGCCTTTTCTTCTTGGCACAGGACTAGCTTGTAAGCCGAGGCGCTGAATGGTGATCCGTTGCGGGGAAAGCCATCTCGGGGCCGAGGAGGAGGAACACGCGGAGGGAAATCCGTAATGCCGTAATGCTCCCCCTTGCAACCCTAATGCCGGGGACGCTCCCAATCTGCTTTGAGGGATGGAAAAGATTAAGAATAATAATAATAATAATATAAGGGGGAAAGAGGACGGAAATTGCAATAAAATATGTGTGAACGCGGGGGTAATTGTGGACAAATGCAGCATTCAAATTCATTTTTCCAGCTCTTTTACACACCATTTCAATCTTATTTTCTGCTTATTAATGAGATCTTGTTGGCTAGGGTGGGCAGAACTGCCCGGCTTTTTTTTCCTCTCTCTCTCTCGCTCTCCTTGGGTAATTGCACATAATTTCCTTTCCACTAGTGATTTGCATCTGATCTTCTTTTTTTTTATTTCTTCCTCCCCTAATTCTTTGCTATTTAACCCACCCACCCGCCCCTCCTCCTCCTTCCCAAATCTCTCGCTCCCTTCTTCCCAAGCCTTCATTTTCAATGCTTATTATACTCGCCGACACTTGGACAAAAGCGCGAGCCGGAGAGCCACAGAAATGAGGCGGGCGGACAAGGAGCCGCGGCGCAAAAAGGCCGACAAGATGCCCGCTTACGACTCTATCTCCCATCCTCCACTGGCATAGGACCTTCTCAGAGAGGGCAAGCCACTCCAGGACTTCCTAGGCTCCAAGATTTAGGGGGATTCTGGGAGTTGTGGTCCCAGGAGGCCGCCATTACGTGTGCCACTTGTGGTTCATGTTCTCAGTCTATCTATCCATCAACCCATGGTTCACTTACCTACTCTATTCTCCCATCTACTTCTCATACACCTATCCCCATCTATCTATCATCTATCTTTCTGTCTGTTTGTCCATCTGTCCTTCCATTTGTCCATCTGTCCGTCCATCTATCTATCCATCTGTCCATCTATCCATCCATGTATCTATCTGTCTGTCTGTCCATCTATCCATCCATCTATCTATCCCTCCGTCTGTCCATCTATCCATCCATCCATCTACCTGTCTGTCTGTCTGTTCATCCATCCATCTGTCCGTCCATCCATCCATCCATCCAATCCCATCCATCTGTCTGTCCATATATCCATCCATGTATCTATCCATCCATCTGTCCATTTATCCATCCATCCATCCATCCATCTACCTGTCTGTCTATTCATCCATTCGTCCATCCATCCATCCATCCATCCATCCATCCATCCATCCAATCATCCATCCGTCTGTCTGTCAATCCGTCCTTACATCTGTCCATCCATCAATCCATCTGTCTGTCAGTTTGTCCATCTATCCATCCATCCCTCCATCCATCTACCTGTCTGTCTGTCCGTCCATCCATCCATATTTAGCTATATCTATCTATCTATCTATCTATCTATCTATCTATCTATCTATCTATCTATCTATTTTTCTGTCTATCTATGTCTCATCCATCCATCCATCCATCCATCCACCTATTGTCCACATATCTACTTATCTGTCCTTTCATCTATCTATCTATCCATATAACCATCTGCCTATCGATCCATCTATCATTTTATCCATCTATCATCTATCAATCTATCTAGCCATCCATCTAAGTATCTACCCTAACATCTTTCATCTACTTATCTGTCTATCCATCCACCTACCTACCATCATTCATCTATCTATCTATCTATCTATCCATCCATCCATCCACCCATCCATCCATCCAAGTATCTATCTATATCCATCTATCGATCAATCAACTGATCTATCCAAGTAATCTACCTGCCATTTTTCATCTACTTATCTGCCTATCTATCTGCCTATCTATCTGCCTATCTATCTATCTATCTATCTATCTATCTATCTATCTATCTATCTATCCTATCTCAGATGGATGAGATAGTAGCCACATATCTACTTTCCCATTCTTCCATCTACTTACCTACCAATCCACCCATATACCCTTCTATCTTCCTATTTTTCTATCCATCCATCCATTCACCTTTCTCCTTCTTATGAGTACTCTGAGCTTCTGTGAGCAAAGGCTAGACGTAGTGAACTCTGTGGCCACTGTGGTGACCCTGGGTCTTCCTGATGACTATTGCAAAGTGGTATGGTCTATTTCTCAAAGAGTCTTGATTCTTTTCGTTCCAAGAAGGCCAATTAGGGAGCTCGGTTTTCCCACCGTCAATTTGAGAAAACCCAACCGCAACTTTCTCCTGGCAGCTGAGTATCATGTGTGAAAGTCCTTGCTCAACTTTTAACCTCCGCAATCCCACCAAGCTGGTGTTTTCTTTCCTTTTCTGCCTTTATGTTTTTCCCCCTGGCTTTGAACCCGGCGTCCCCCGCTTCCAAGCCACCTGGTCCTGTCAATAACGTGGCCTCCACGACAAGGGGATTGACTCCATGTGAAAAGAGAAAAGGGAGAAATATTTCATTTTCCCCCCATTTGGCCTCCCGGAAGAATTCCTTTGGGGCGGAAGAAGGAATCGCGGGTTCTCACAACTGCGGAAGAAGGAGAATCCTATTGTT